TCCCGAACAAAAAGCATGGCATACACTTACAGAAATAATGACCCTGGTAGTTGACGTGCCCGAAATCACAAAACAATCAATCAATTCAAGATAATCCCTTCATTACTGTTCTGACGCTTCTCCGAAACAGATTTGACTGGATGTTTTTATCATAGGAGTATTTGCCAAGCTATATTTTTTCCTTTAATAAACCATTTACAATGTACGATATCAGAAGCAAACTCCCTGGGAGGTTCTAAAATGGCCAGCAAGTAGCGAGCTTTGAAAGGTTCGATTCATGAGTCTCTGAACGATGAAGCCGTAGAGCAAAACAGGCTCACCGAGGATCGACACCGCTGAAGCATCCCACTACTAGTAGCGTGTTGCCGCAAGTGTGCGCGGCACAGTTCACCACGCACCAACCACCAACGGAGCCGATCAAACGAAAAAACACAGCCAACGCCGCCAACCCATCAATAACAAAAAGCGACCTTCGCCGCTTCAGTCATTTAACGCAGGGATAGGCCCGCAGTTCAAAACGAATCGAAGTCGGAGACGTAGTAAATTCGCAGTAAACCCGCGTGCAACTACAAAATAACCGGCCGCCCCCAGGGAGCGTCGATCTCGTTGGCTTCGCGCGGCTCGATTGCGGTTGGGCGAGAGGTGTGAGGCATCGAATGCAGCCGGGCGCGCACGAGGGCAAAGAGCGCATGGTGTCGAAGGGACGAGTCAGCGAGCAACCACCAGCAATGGAAAAACGAACAATCTTAAGAGAAGCCGTGTTGATGTGCGTAAAACTATAAGAGGAGAAAATGAGGCTAGATGCTTCCAAGGAGAGGAAACGTTGCAGTAAAGCGCACTAAAAACCCCGAACCCAAAAGAGTAAAAAGAAAGGAATGTTGTCGTTAGTGTGGAAGAGTAGCAAAACAAATGAAAAGGAAACGGAAAAACCGCCGAGGCGTATGATATCACAATATAATTAGACTAGTGTAGGATTGGTGTATCGTCCGGGAAATTGTCAGAGAAGAACAAAGGCCGTAAGACGGAAAGAAGTTATACGCGAGAAAAGCTACACCAATATAAATAAACTAAAAGATTTTACTTACGCATTTATAGAAATAATAAAAACAGACTACGAAATACTTAAAGTTTCGGTCTTATGTAAAATCACACATGATTGAACACAATGACCCTGGCAGTGGAGGAACGCAACAAAGGAACATTCAAGCTCTGAGAACGCGCCACCATATGAAATTCCGGCGTCTCCCCGGCGACCAGCGGCCAGCGCCGGCCGCTATCCTCCGGGGTCGTTCGGCCGCGCGTAACGAACCGCCGGGCGCGCTACCTGACAGGCCGCCGCCGAAAAAACGCTCTTCGTCCTCCCCGCCCACCGCGCCCTTCGCTACAAAAAAGGAGGAGAGAGAGAACAAATATAATATATCCACGCCCTCCGCGTTATTCACCTACTTTTCTCTTACGTCATAAATTAGGTTCAATTCCGCGTGTCACCGTCTATTGAATTCCGCTCGTCTCCAAATTGTTCCATTTTTTCTTTTCGCCCCGGCCGCTCTCATTTCTCGCGCAGCGGTCTGCGTCGGGGCCAAGGAGGCGGCGGAAGGGGGAAGGGGAAGGGGGGGGGGAGGCGAGGCTCTGGCGCTCGCCCCGGATATGGAGAATTAGTAGAGTTTTGAATCCCCCGGCTTTCCGTAGGGGGGCAGTGCCGGCAGCGGCGGCGGCCAGGTCCGGGCGGGGGCGTCGGTGGTCTGGTGCGGGGAATTTCTCAATGCAGTATCGGTAACTCAGCGGCAACCAAATCTATCTTCTCCCGACGTGTAACTCTTGTTACCCCGGCAGCGCGCGCGAAGGAATGGTAGAGGGCGCGGCGGGGCGGCCGGGTTGAGGTGGGCTGGGTGTGGTAGTGGTGGCGGCGCCGGCTCGCGCTGTCCCCGCCGCCGCCCCCGCCCCCGCGCCGGACGCCCCGCGCCGCTGCGAGCGCGTCTTTCGAATGCAAATGGGGCGCCCGTGGAACGCATAAACTTCATGGAATCGCGCGTGCGCCTTGCACGTAGCTCGGGTGCCGCAGGTGAGAGGCGCAGCCGTATTTCGCGACGTGTGACGGGAATACCCAGCGAGTTTTGACCTTCCGGAGGCGAATCAATGCCCGGAAAGTGCAGTAGTACAGTTCAGCTAGTTACAACGTGAGACTGGCAACAGTACTGCTCACGCCTTCTAGAAGTTCTAAACGAGGCGAACCAAATGAGTCGGTGACATCAGCACAATTATGAATTTTTATGATTCTGAAGCTTGTAGTACTTTAAGAAATGGCCTCGCTGAAGAAAGAATGGGGTTGAACAAAAAAAATCGAATAATAAGAACATTAACACGAAATTCAAGAAAGTTTTTGAATTAGCATCATAAATATGAAAAAGGACTAAGCCTTGAACATTGAACTAATCGTAATATAATTAACCTAATCGTAACACAATACTCTTCTCACGGCTTCGGGTTGCATTTTGAATTCTTTTGAAGATCATTAGATAGAATATTCTAACCGAATTACTTCTTCGCATGAGAAGTTATGTTTCAGTCGGAACTATAACGACAGGCAATAGTTCAGTTGACTTACATACGAAGTTGACTTTCTCGGAGTTTTGATATGCGGCAGAATTCTGAATACATGTATCACAACGAACTTTACACACAACAATACAACCAATTACAACAAATTTTAAACACATGGCATAGTGAAATAAAAACCTGTGTACATATTCACAAGAACCAGAAACATTTTAATTTTATTTTTACTACTTGTTACGTTTTTAATGCATGCGCCCTGAAAAACCCTCCTCTGCAACAATGTAGCGAGTTTGGAAAACGCTATTAAGAAAATCCCGATTCACGAGCAATGGTTGAAATACTCCAGACGAATCCCCACGCCATCGTCCGCTACGTCATTCCGGTTTCGACTGCAGAGCGTGTGCATTAAAAGCCTTTCATCGTCCTCTCAACGTAAGCGAGGTTCTCGCCCTCGCTACTTACTTCTGGATGTCGCGCTTCCGACACGCGTCTGCAAATGGGCTCCCACTTAACGCGCGCCAGGCGTCGATACACGACACGTAAGCCGTTGCGCCACCGGTGAACGCGTCGATATTACGCGGCGGCGAGTGCCGGGCTGTGATACTTCCCGGCGCTGGCGAACACGTACACCGTGTGAAGTGGATGTGCATCGGCTAGTTCGTTATTCGTCGATGTCACAGATCGTTGTTTCAACGTTGATACTCCGAATCTCCACGCAAGACCGCCTAGAGGTTGTCGGTCGAGCCTGAACTCTACCTACAAACTTAGGGAAGCGATTTCTGGGTGGAAATGAGACACTATTAGGAGCATAAGCACCAAAATGACAATTTGTTACAGAAAAGAGGATCTATCAACGGAACTTCCATTCTTACGCAGGCCAAACCACGCTGCTAACTGGTCCGTCGTGACGTACAATGATGCATTTGAAGCACAGTGCTTCAGCGCAGGGAAAGTAGGAGACACAACTTTGAGAATAATATCGTTCGAAAAATAAATGTTTTTGGGGCATATTTTTATATGACCATTTCTCTATTAAATTGTCACTCCCGAAGTCTATTTGTAGAATCACGTCATGGAAAACAATTATGCTTGAGAGTATATTGCAAAACAATATTTTAAATATATAAAAACAAGTTAATCTATTGTCAACGATTTCACATTCAACTGACCGACCCAACATAAAAATTATCTCAATTAGGTTCATTTTATAATTCGATACGACTTTCAAAACAGAACATACGATACGAATGTAATATCGGTAAGCGTGGTCGTCAAAAGAGCAACGCATCGTTGACGTAGATACGCACCTAAGACTTCAGAAACCAACTACGGTTAGTTTACATTCCTGTTTTCTTCGCCTTTTATTACAATACACTGCAATAACAGAAAATTAACTTTCTTTGTTACGTATGGCAGTAATACATCTTTGTTTCAGCAATACACAAAACAATATCTGACATTTCAATATCTAATGACACGATTAAATCGTTAATTATTTGGCAGTGTTCTGTTTTCAAACAAACTTTACTCTCTGAAAAGACGTGGAGACGCGGCTCTCAATATCAAAATCTATTACTAGTTTCACCAGAAAGTCAAAGCATGAATTCTACTACAAAGCTCTTGGTCACGCAAAAAATTCGAATTATCGAAAATCAACAGCAAAAGACGAGAACGCAAACGCGAACGCGGTCTCCTATCTTCCGATCGAACACCGAGACGGTCGCTTTTCCGTGTGCTTTCTCCGCGCTCGTGACCTGCCCCCGGCGCTGTCCACGGCATCCGCCACCCGTAGAGGGTGGATCGGCGTGCAGCCGCCTCCGCCGCCCGCGCCGGGGCGCCTCGCGTCCAATTAGCGCGCAGATAAGTCGCGCGCGAGGACGTGACGTGGACGCGCGCGTCACGAGGCTAATGGGCGTGTCGCGGCCGGCCGCGCGGTTGCACTCAGCGCGTCCCCTCCCCGCCCCCGCCGCCGAACACTCTCCCGCTCCGGCCCGGCCCGCCTCGTCACGGCGCGCCTCACGGCCCGTCGGGCACAGAGCGGCGCGGAGCCCGGGGCAAGGACGCAGCGTGCACGCCGCCGCCGCTAGGGCATTAGCCCGCGCCGCAGTCATTAAGGAGACGTCGGAGGTGATCAGCGGCTGACGTGGCCTCGAGGAGCGAGGCCTATGAATGACTTGCTCCGCGCAACCGCTCATGCGCGTTCAAGGGAGTGACACGTGTCGCCATGACGTAGCCGAACAAGATAATTCTAAGGTTCGACTTCAAGGAGAATGGACTATTGCTGCCTCGCTGTTCGAGAACATACACGCTCGAAGCGGTATAAATCAATACGAATAATTAACACGAACCGAAGTGGGTAATACGGACATCATTTATTAATTGCACGTCCCAGTAAGAATTTTCTCGCGCTAGTGCACGTGGTTTTATCACCCTCCGCAAGTCTCTCAACGGGCACAAGAGTCTTCACAAGAGAAAATGCCAGACGCAGTAACAGCGGCTGTGCGGAAGAAGCGCCGAGTAGTGGGAACACCTCCGAAGCGGTGGTACAGCTTGTAAAATGTTGCGTTATGCAAATACCGGGCCGGCGGCGGAGGCGGTGCGCGGGGAGGGCCGGGGCGGACGTGGGAGGCGGGCATTGTGCATTGTCCGGCAGCGGTGGCGACGGCGGCAGGGGCTCCCACGCGTACAGCGGCGGCGGCAGCAGGCTCCAGCACGCCCCGCCCGCCTCCGCCGATGCCTCCGCCGCCGCCGCCGCCGCCGCCCCCGATGCAAATCGCCCAGAGCGCGCGCGCGCGCTCCACTCGCGCGAGCGCGCCGTTCGATAGCTCGACAGGAGGTATCGACAGCCCAGAGAAATACTGGCCGCCCCCGTCCCCGCTTCTGCCGCCGCCGCCGCTCCGTGGGTCCTTCACAGGCTCGTTTCCCCCGCGCCGCCCCGCCACGCCCCGGCGCGTGTTCCCAGAATCCACCTCCTCCCCTCCCCTCCCCGCCACCGCGCTCCCACCGGCGCGGGCGCTACGCTTCGGGGGCGCGGACGAGCGGACACCCCCTCCCCCCCTCAATATGTTAATGCGGAGCGAACTTGGGCGAGCGCGAAAATTGTTTTCCAAAACTCTCCGGCCGACCAATCCGATTTTTCTTTCGGACCGGCGGCGATACGTGTGGCTTAGAGTACACACAGTTTTTATACTCTTTTACAATTTCACTTCCGCTTCGTGGTGGAAACCTGTCTGAGCTCAGCATATTTTATTAGATGTACGAAACAATTGCAGGAAATATTGCGTAAGATAACGTGGATACAAAGAAATTAATTCGGAAATGAAACAGCACTTTAGTTGTAATTAATGGTCTAAATACTGTGTTGTCTCACAACTCTTTCCGAAGACATACGAAACCTTGACAACCACACGGATAATAATTCCTGCAGATGTTACAATACAAGGACAATATCATTCTCTTATTTACGAGGAAAATCAGAAGTGTTGGTTCATTCAAATATACTCATTCCCGAGAGAACCACACCGAGAGGAACTCACTAATATTTTGATCCACCGCCTGTTCCCAACGAATAGTCTAACATATCAAGTTCCTTTCTTTAAAGCTCTTAACAAAATATATCCCTCAAGACGTAATCTTAACGTAGCAAGATCTCTATAAAAACTGTGTAAAAAAATTGCGTTCGTGAGTTCTTCTCGCTGATAGTCTTTCCTTCCGGGAAGAAGCGCGACTGAAGCGTCGCGCAGAGTCAGGCGAGCAGTGGAACGTCACATGCCTTCCCACAGCGGGATCCTCCACCACTACAAAGGGGCCTCTAACTACTCAGGGCGGGGGACGGGTGCGGCGCCGAGGGCGAGGGCGGCCGGAACATGGGGCGGGTGGGCGGGAGAGGCGGCCCTGGACGGGCAGGCGCGCTTTATCTGCTGGGCGTCGGGTCGACGTGCTCCGCTGCACCACTCACCGAACCGGGGCTGTCCCCGTCGCCAGTCGAGCCATACATCTCATCAGAACTCACCTGCAAAACACGAAAACACGCGTTAGGAAAACATAATAACAATTTACGATTTAGGAAAACAAAATAATTCACAGGGCAAGAGAATCTTTATAACTGTTCTTAGAAAGTCTAGACCGAGTTGACGAAATGGCCAAGATTTAATAGACAATTCCTGTAAATCCACATCTTTCCAATATTACACAAATCACAAAAAATGATGCACGGAGGTCGAATTCAAATGAACATTTGCTATAATTATAAGGTTTTTGTTTCCTATTACCAGCATGTTGGAGAAATTACAAAATTGTACCATTCGAAAGTATCAAGGAAAATAATATATATAAGACTTTGATTCGACGTTCGATTCACATTTCGCTAACTAGAGAGAATTTCTACCATGTTCATTGTCACAATCGCTAAACAGTGTGAGACTGATTTGATGTGACAAATAGTTTAAACATAAAAAAACTAAGAGCAGGTACATCAAAAGCTAGGCGTCCGATCTGATTGGTAATTTAATCGTCTTCTGTTTTACAACACATAAAACAACGTAGTAGGGCAGGTTTCTAAAGAACCAGAGGCATTATATCTGAACATAAACCGAAAGCTGCATTAATATCTGCACGCAACAAAAAATAGATATGCATCGTTATCGGCAGTTGCAACACTGCAACAAGAACACCTCGACAGATATAGCGAAAATACAGGTGTTCATAAGAACCGCGTCGTTGCCTCAAAGCGGCTTATTAACGCTCAAATCGAACGCGAACCAGCCGGACTGCATTCGACGCGCAGCCGCCGACCAATCACAAATTTCCTCGCGGCACGGTACTTCCCCGCAACCATACGGACAACTGGCAGCAAAAAAAGGCGGGATGCAGCCATCCAAGCAAACGGGAGTGAGGTCAAATCGGTTCCCAGAACCGCGAACCGCGGTCGACCAGCGCAGGAGCCCATAGAAAAGCGGGGGCGGGGGGACGGGGCAGCTCGCGCGGGAAACAGGGAAAACAACGGGGTTTGCCACGCTCGGGAACGAACCCCGAACCACGCCCGCAACAAAGCGAGCGAAGCAGCGGCAAAGGCCTCCCCCAGGCCGGCGCGGGCGGCGGAGCGACCGGGGGGCAGGAAGGGGGCGGCGGAGGCGGCGGCTACTCGCGAAGCCCGGCGGGGCGCGCGCGCGGCGGCTCGGGTGACACACAGCTGTCAAAGGGACCCCGTGGCCTCGCCCGGGACAAAGCCGCCGCCGCTGCCACCGCCGGCGGGTAGGCGGGCGGACGGACGAGCGAACGTTGTATCGGCGCGGTGCTGGAAATTCGGGGCTTCCTGCCGCGCGGCCGTCGGATCCGCCGCGTCGACACGGCGAAGCCCGCCTCGTCAACGCGAACGGCGCGCTGCGGTCGCCTGGCGAACGGGTGAGCGGGCGCGGCGCTGAGCTGGTGAGCTGGACAGCCAGTGGCGAGCAGGCTGGAATGCACGGGGTGTGGTTTGCTGAGTTAACTACGCGGTGTGTTTCAGTCCCTCGCGGTTAGTTGGGTGCCACGATCGTAAGAAAGAGGTCACAGGGTTTTTTCCCTCTCTTTCAAAAGGAAGCCGTACAGTAAATTAGAACATAAGGAAATAAATATAAGGAAAGAAATTGGGTCAGACACAGTATTTCTTTCTCTGATATTATTCCGGCAGAAACGTTTCTTGGAAACTGTGCACTCAGGTTCGTGATTTTCGGGTTTAGTATAGAAATGTTCATACTTACGATACAGCATACGTACGCAAGTTCTTTAAGGGAATTAGAATTTTAAAGTTAATGCGAAACGCATAAGCCGGGGTCTTTGAACTGTAGAAATTATTTTTCGCTTCAAAGAACTACATATAACAAAGATCTAGAACAGAACTTCAGCATGGAAGGAAAATGTTACGTTCAGAATGTGAGTACATGTGTTGACAATTTTAAGAATTACTTTGACCGAACCAAAGCTATTCTATTTTTCAGAGAGCTTTCAAAGGATAGACGCAAATTACAGACTAACGACAGATCTCAACACATCGACCAGTTAGTAAGGAAGAACTAGTGTTGACCACTAATTGTATTTAAGTTTCCATGGCAACTCGTCTCCCACGCAATCAGCCATCCGACCTTGCACCAGTTGGCACCCGCCGCGTCCGTGCGCTGAGCGAGTGGCTGGCGCACGGAAAGGATGCGGGCAAGCGGCCACGGCGATTAAGGCCGCGAGGCGGGGCCTCGCTGACGTCTTCACCACCGCTTGGGGGCGCGCGCCAATTATCGCCGCGGCCATAACTCACCCAGGGCGGGCGGTTGGGCGGAGGGAGCGGCGCGGTGGTGCGTTTAATTCCCCCGGACACCGGCGGCGCGGCCGCGCGGCGGCGGCCGGACATCGCACGCGACGCGTACCGTGTTGCGTCTGTTTTATATCCGAGAGAAAGCGAGGGCGGTGCGGGGGACCCGGCTCGCCACCGCGTCACCGCAGGCCCCTTCCCCCCCCGCCGCCTTCGTCGCCCCGCGGACGAAAAAAAGCGGAATACCCCGCCGCATGCCGCTTGGGAAAGTGAGAACGCCGTACTGCAGACGCAAAGCGCTGAGGAAGGCGATGGTGGAGGCACTGCAATTGCCACTGATGGCCGATTATTGTTTCGGAGTTGGAGGCAGAGAGTGGCACAATAAGGGGTGGCCTCGAAGATGCATTTCAAAATAAAAGGGAAAAAGGAAAAGGAAAAGAGGAAAAGAAAAAAGAAAAGAAAAAACTGTAATGCGTTGAATCGCTAACTAGTGAGAGTTATCGCCGTCTGGTGTTCCTGCCGTCTGACATGACAATTAAGGCAAGGTTTTAACAACGGTCAGCGAAGACGTTGGCAGTTACAGTGAAGGAAGCCGGGCGCTGCTGGCAGCGCCAGTCGGGACTACGCGAGCTGGAAAGAGTGGGCGAAGGAAAGGGCTGTCCGCGCAGGGCGGCCGCGGCGTCCCCGACGCAAACTCGTGTCGCGAACATAAAACAATACGCGCCCGCGGCGGAATTTGTTGCCCGCGAGCTCGCAGAAGCCGCCGGAACGGCGGCTGGCCCGTAAGGGAGCGCCTCTCCGATCCCCTGGCCCGCGCGGCAAAACACGCCAGCGCAGTTTTTCCCGGCGGCCGGGCGGCGAGACCGGCGGGGAGCGGGGCGGAGCGGGGCGGGGGCGAGGGGCGGAGGCGCCGTATCGAGCGAGGAGGCCGCGTGGAGGGAGGCTGACGCGGAGGCGAGGGCGCTGGGAAAGTTCCGCGATGGTTACTGTTACGGCCGGCGCTGAAATCAAGGCAGAACTCGCGCGGGAATGGGGCGCCTTATTACAAGTATTATTGTTATTATATTATTCCCGGACGGCGACAGACGGCGGGAGGGCGCGGAGGAGGAGCGTCCTCGGCGGAGGCGCGGCGCGGCGCGTGCAGAAGACGAGCGAAGCGGACGCCCCACGGAACCCCCGCGCCGCCGCCTTGAGGGGCCGTCGCGACGCCGCGCGGTGCGGTGCGAAAGCTCGGCTGCTGTGTGTGCACGTCGTCGCTAGAAAGTACTGTGAAAGCCATTTTCGAGACTCTCTCACTAAACGACTCGGCGGAAATAGTTATTGTCGGTTCACGTAAAAAAATGGAAAGTAGAAAAAACGGTGGGAATAGTGCAGTCGTTGGGAGCAAGTAGTACCGGAATGGGTTCTGCAACTTGTGATTAACAATTTGAATCCCAATTGCAACATTACCGCCAAATTCAGCGTAATTTCTAAAACGGAAATGTCACCTACAAGACATTTTAATATTTTTTCTATTACAAAATAGTCGCTAAAACAATTAAATGTTAACTCATGGGCAACTATCACGTACTACTTAATTTTTCAACTTAATGACGGAGTTTCAAATTCAAATTTATTTATTCTCCTCTTCCTAATAACACATTCCCATAAGAAAGTTCGCAACTAAATATCAGAAACTTAGCTAGGTACCTCCAACGGCGGCGGTACTTTCACGTTGACAATTTTTATTAGTTCTGTACAAATTCATATTAAACGGAAACTTAAATACAGTTACGTGGCTCGTCAATCATCAAGACCTGGGAGTTATGTGAAAGTGTCGATAGAAGTACTTAAAAAAATCACATTTAGTTGCAATAGCTTTTACTATTCTCAATATAATGAAAAATTGTTGTTAATTTACAGAATCATATCCTAAAGATTCACTCAAAGTCGTAAAACCAGTGTTGTAAACCAAAGCGTTTCAGCACCACAAATATCTTTCACCCCCCCCCCCCCCCAATATTTTCTTTCTATGTATTCTTCCAGAATATTGTAAAAAAAGGGAAAAAAGGCTAGAAATGAAACAATCTATTCGCCTTTTCGAGAACAATCGAATGTGATCACCTCCGCAGGTGGCTTTAAAATTCCCACAAATTGCGTTTGAGTTGCTCAATCCTTCCTCATAGGGTTTTTTATAAAATAATCGTTGCACAATTAAAATTACCGTTAATCTGATAAATCAAGTCGTTACGATTCATGTGTAAATGCCGTACAATAATTCACAGCATTTCACAAATGTTTTCGCAAGTGTACTGAAACCATCAAAAACCCGTGTGTTTTTACAATTCTTCCAGAAGATCGGGATAAGAACCGCATAAAAACTATGCCAATCGATTTGTCTAGTCAAGAGGAATCGAATCATCTACTGATGACTCCTGCAGGTGTCATACGTCATCCAAAGGCATCAATTTCTTACAATGTGCTGGATGAGCACGTAAAAAATTATTAATTCCGCACTCGGAGGCCTAGAATGACACCTTGTTTGTCTCGTCTGGAAGAGCGGAAAGGGTCTAACAGTGAGTGACGGAGGGACGCAGGTTCATCGATTACTATATACGGATAAGCACATAGGATAGAGTTGCGCCTGTCAATTCCTTAAATAATGAACAATGGCTTAAACAATATTATGACGTCAGAAGGTTTGTCCTGACGCCCACTCCCCAATCACGAAAAGGTGACGAAACGTCCTTGGCCCTCGAGCACGCCAGCCCATCCCCAAGCAACGGCCGCCTTCGTAGTCGAGCGGCGGGCATCGAGCGCGAAGACGCCGGCGCCGGACCGTGCGTACGAATACACGCAGGGGATGCGCGCTTTACCGCTTTTTGCGGTCTCCCACGCCGCGGTTCGGCCGCCGGCGCCGTTTTTCAGCCCGTCTTTTTTCCTGTCGATGAACACCACCACCAGCTCCATGCTTGCTGCCGCCGATAGACAGACCACGTCATCTGGCTGTGTGGCGTTAACAGCGTTTGATCAGCGGACGGCTTGTCTGAGGGTTGGATCGCGGACGAGCCGGCGTGTTCCGAATACAATTTCATTAATCCATTAATTCTCTTCCTCTCTGTCGCAATTTAGCAGCGGCTCTTCGGGAATACCGTTTTGACGAAATATGCGTCAATCGTGCTTTCGGAAAATATCTTTGCCTTTCGTTCTACAAATCTACAGAAAATGTGTAGCTCTTGTGTATCTCAACATTCTTGGAAAATATTCAGAAAACTTGTCGGCTGTGTGACATGGACACAAAATCGCCCATATTTGTATAGCGATTTATTTCAACAAAGTCTTCCGAAAATAAAGTAAATTTACATCCCACACCTTAACTTAAATACAGACATTCCCCTACCGCGGACACCCTTGTTCGAGCGTTTGACGACAAAATACTCGAAGGCGAAACGAGTATTTACTTTCTCGTTTCTGACACCAGGTAGCTCCCATGGCGTGGACAGCGTGAATCTTCCACCAAACGAAGGCGCTTGTGTGATCACGGAAATGTGATATGCAGTCAAAAAAGAAAGAAAAAAATCTAAATCTGAGCTTGGTCGTCAGCCTCCACAACTCTACAAAACTCTGCAAAACCTACGTGTATCACAAATACAAGAACCAGACCGCTCAATTGTCAGTTTCATGCCTAGAAAGAGGAATCGATGATTAAAGGATAAATGACACCCAATAGTTAAGCACTTTCATAGCGAAGCACAGCCATCAGATAAAAAATGCAACGATGACTTATAAAAAATAATATGCTTATTCATATCGTCATGTTTAGAACATGACGATATGAATAAGCATATTATTTTTTATAAGTCATATTATTTTTCGTTGTATACTATTTTTTTTTAAATACAACATAATAGTGTAATGAAGGGCATCGTACATTTTAGCTTAATTATCGTTCACTGATGATTTAAAATAATAATAATAATAATAATAATAATAATAATAATAATAATAATAATAATAATAATAATAATAGCAAAGAGGTAATTGTATCTGCACGAGCCATATGAAGTTCAGAATTCGATAAAGGCACAGAAGTACCACTAACAAGTTTCCCTCCTCCGCTCTCCCACGTTCCAAGAACGTCCGCCGCCATCGCTCACGCTGGAGCCGAAAGACCAGTATTCTTGCAACGCTGGGTATGCATATTCGCGGGCGACGAGCGCCAGTGACGCTTCCGCGGCCTGGTGGTCGCACGGGTAAACACGCCCGTGGGACTAACCGGCGCGCACACACTTTGCCGCTTCGCACCTGCGCGTTGTTGGTTTTCGCCCGCCGGCGTCGCGCACGTGTACGGCGACCGCCGCCTCCGGCCCCGCCTTCGCCGCCGCCGCCGCCGCCGCCACCTCATCCGCGCGGGCGTTACCCTCTCGCTCCTAGCACGTTCTTCGCGACCTCAGGAGATAGAGGGCACATCGAAGAGGCGCTGCGTCTTCCTCGCGCCAATTATTGATAGGGAGATCGCTCCTGAGTGAGTGAGTGAGTGAGTGAGTGAGTGTGTGTGTGTGTGTGCTTTGATAACCTCTGCTGTAGCTGAACAAAAAATGACGAAAGGCTTCATGAAACAATACAAGTGATGTTAGGTAGATAGTACGTAAAATGTGTTGACATGGTTAGGATAGGCAACCTGTAGATCAAATCCGACACCTCGGTAGAAGGATAAAATCTAGGATTACCAGCATCCCTTGTTACCGTCAGAAAGAGTCCGAGGTTATTTTTTTATTTTGTAATACCTTCATTTCTATTGGATGAGAACCATTGTACGGGACCACAATATAAAAGGTACCTAAAGAACACGAAAAAAAAAAGGACTTTCAGCATCTTTTCCTCATTGAGTAGACATAATATACCCATAGAATGTAGATTTTCTGATAAACGATGCCTTGATTCATTATCATTACGATTTCCGGGTGTTAGATGAACAGCTGGGGATTAGATAAGAACGGTAGTCGAAAACAGGAAAACTAAATGAAGTCGTAACGTGTTACTCTCATACCGGATACAATTCATTTACACAGTGATTGATTATGTACAAGTACATTGCGTCTAATAAGTTCTGATCGGGT